AATATAAAAGAACATGTGAGATCACATTTTCCTAGCATGACTGGAAGTATTTGGGAAAGAGCTGTTGAAAGACGCAGCCTTTTATCTCTTGAAGTTGGTATAAACTCTTTGTTGAGGACTATTCAATAATATCAAACATTTAATGTAATATTTTAATACTCCTTCTAATATAGGTAGTAGTGTACCTATTAGATACCATTCAGTTACTAGAACAGAAGATATATAAAAAATTCTGGAGATTTTCTTAGTTCGCTTAATTTAAAAATCTACTTTAAAAATCTAGAAGGAAGTAGTCATGTTTCAATTAATATGTGATTCAGTGGCTCCAATATGTCATCAGTGCAGCTAATGTACGTAGTTCAGGCTGACGTTGAACTCTCCATCCTCCTACCTCAGCTTCCCTTATTCTGGGATTACAGCTGTGCACCACCAATCTCAGCTCTTACGATACTTTTCAGATACTTTCATTGTAAGACTACCAGGCATTTTAGTATCATGTGCTGCCTTGAGATTTCTGGTTGCACTTCTTACCTGTTCTCCCAACAGAGTTTCTTCCTCTCTTTAAGCATCTTCTTACACCTTATCTCATGTAAACTAAGCCTTGTACCTATCCCTGAACCAGTTGCCTCGATAGGGAATGGAATTCATTTATTGGGTTAATACAATGGAGGACCATTCTTACTCTTGAGAAGCCATGCTCTAAAGAAACTGTGCTGAGGGGAAGGCAGTGATAGACAGCGAACAACCGGCACCTGTCACAGCTCTTCATTTTTGGACAAAAAAAAACCCCAACAAGACAGCAGTCTTGAACAGTAAATAATAGTATATGCTACATGGTAGGCACTTAGTGCTGTGGATACAATTTTAATTTAAAAACCATCTTGATGCATAAATGGTATTAATCCTCTGCTTTGCAAAGGTTAGAGACTAAAGAAATTAACGAAAATCACATTGATTATTCTGACTTAACTATTCATGTTCTTTTCACCATGACAATCTCAGTAGTATTCCAAAAGTTGACTACTAAAGCAACGTTGATTACTAAGACAATTGAATATTGTCTTTGTAATTCATCATTGCTATAGAATTCTAGGAAATCCTCATCCTATTTGGTTTCATAGGTAATACCCATACAAAAACAACCCTGGTACAGAAAAGATGATAAAAAAGTTATGTTATCATCTTTCACCAACATTGAGCTCAAAATTGTTGTGTTGTGCTCAAGCAATTAACCTATGCTACACGTGTGCACACATTTATACGGGTGGAATGCAGTGCATGTATGAGTACTGTATACAATACTAGGGGGTTTAACTTGGCACTTCATCAAAATTACCAAAAAAAGTTGAAAGCACAACTCTACCCTCTCCAGGTATAGGGAACCTTCTCTTTGCAAAGAATAGTTGAATATTCATAACATCATTCATGGGGCATCTAAGATTATACAGATAGACAGCTAACTAGTAGCTGTCTGCCCCATAATCTACCAAGTGCTTTTGTAGGTCTTGTGAACTCATACTAACCTTGCATTGAATGGTGAAAACTATCAGCCTTTACTTCTTTAATGGTAATGATTCAGTAGTAGACCAAAAAGATTATTTCTGGATCAATAGCTAACCACACTTCTGCCACTTGGAGAGTTTTACTTGCTTTGAGGTTCCACATGTTTGTACTTGCATGAGACACAGGCTTTCCTAATTGAATCATAATTATGAAATTTTTACTGGAGGCCTGCCTTCTGTTTAGTCTTTTGTAAGCTGGCTAGTTACAGGGGTTTGTTGGCTCTGCTTCTTCAGACTACTTTGTCTGAAGGTGGAGTAGCTATACATTGGAAACAAATTTAAATTTTATTTAATATATGTAATTATTTTAAGCAAGATTTTTTTCTTTTACTAGGGCAGAAATATTGTTGATTTAACTATAAGACAATAATACATCCTTTTTGAAGCTTGGTATGGTGACTCATGCCTATAGTACCAGCTACTCTGGAGACTGATATTGGGAGGATTTATAGGCCAGGCCAGGGGGTAAATACCTGGAGGGATCAGACGCTATTTGAAAAATGAGAAGAAGAAAAAGGGCTAGGTGTTCACTCAAGTTATAGACCTGCTTAACTAGTGCAAGAGCCAGAGTTCAAGGAATACTGCTAAAACAAAAGAATAAGGGAAATTCCTCTGTGAATCTTTGGAAGTTGCTACTTAAAGCTCTAACTTCTTAGTATTACTGAATTAATATCATTTTTGTCTGATTTTTTAGTACTGTGTATTATCTTTCTTAAGGTAATGGACTAGCACTAAGCTGATATTGAATAATTGTTGAACAATGTGTGTAATTTATTAGCTTAGTCCATATTGGATGAAGATATACTGCACTCACTAGGGTTTATATTCTGCAGTAGCAGGTGGGGCAGGCAAAAAGGATTATATAAAGAAGCAAAGTTTAAAAGGGTGAGAAGAGGAAAAGTGCAGAATATGAAGTACCTTGGTGAAGGGATAATAACAGGATCCCACCGAGCATGAGATTGTACCATGGGCTCCTTTACAACTAAACAGCACAAAAGAGCTTTTCATTTGAACTTCATAAACTGAACAGTGTTATATGATTTCAAAACTAGAAGGGTATATTTTTCTAAAGCAGGCCAAACAAATATCTAGATTTTTAAAAATGTGTGAATACTGGTTCAGATAATAACTAATGATTTCAAGTTCATTTTAACAGATTTGTGTAGTGAGGAGAACTGAGGTTTGAATTCAGAGTTTCATACAAAAAGACACTAGCACTTGAATCATGCCTCAAGCCTATTTTTTGTTGTTTACATTTTAGTCTGTTACTTTGCTCTAGTTATTTTTGAGATTAGGTCTTACCTGGGCCAGCATGGACCACAGACCTTACATTTATGCTACCCATTGTTTCTGGAATGATGGGCATGAACCACCAAACCCTACATTTTTTATTAAGATGGGAATCTCAAACATTGTGGTAGCTGGGCTGGAACTGAGACCTTCCTGTTATTTTCCTCTCAAATATCGAAGTCATAGGTGGGAGCCACTGTAGTGTTCCTTTAACAGGAGATTTTGGTACGTCCTGGTAGGCTGAGCCATGTCTCTAACCTGTCATTCATTTTTCTGCAGAAGGATATTTAATTCTTTTTTGTGGTTGAATAGTACATATGTACATATGTGTACATATGCACACCACATTTTCTTTATTCTTCAGGTTGATCAACAGCTTGACTAATTTTATAGTTGGGCTGTCACATATAAACATGGTGTGCAGGTTTCTCAACTATATGTTGACAGGTTATTTTGGATATGAACTAGGAGATCAGTAGTAGAATTGTGTGGTAGCTAGCTTTATTTTGTATATAATTTTTATTTTTTTGTGCCAGTACCAGGGCCTGATCAGGGCATTGCTCTCTCACTTGGTTTGCTTGTTCATGGCTAGTGCTCTGCCACTTGAGCCATGTGTTCAGTCCCTATCTTCAGTTTATAAATTAACCTACATAAGCATGAAATATATTTTGGAGACTTAGTATTAAATGTAAACTATATAAACTATTATATTGGTAAATGTTGACATATTTGTGATAGGTTAAGAAAATATAGTATTAAAACTTCCCTTCCTTCAACTTTTTTTTTTTAATTGAAACATGACGCTAAAGGCTTTATTTTCCAATGTGGCTAAAAGATGAATGTAAGAATGTGTAAACTATTCATCCAGATTTTTCCCACTTATAGTGGTTCCCTTTTTTTCCATTTTGATTTGCTATGGCTTATATTTTCCATAGTCTGGTAGAATAAAACATACCGTAATATGTTGCATTGGGCTGGATGCTGGGTTATGGATAAAGGTTAAGGAACAAGGTTAAGGTCTAACTAGAACTTAAGTTATTGACTCAAAGACCTTTAAATTATTGAGTCAATTCCTTTAACACTAGTACTTCAAGATTAAGCAATGGGGCTTGTACAGTAGTTCTTCTGTGTCTCCTGATTTTGATGGATAGCTTGTTAATCTTTTTTATTGTTCATTCCTCTTTTACGGTCAAAGTTAAACAAGCTGGTATAGAATTCAGCAGAAGCCTCCATTCTCATTTGCTTAGAGCACCCATTTCCTCCCTTTGGGAACCTGTTTGAGTTTTATTGTGGAGATCTAGGATGATGAATGGAAATGCAGGTTGCACAGTTGTGTGATTTGCTCCTGAGGCACTCTGCCTGCTGGCCCTCAGGCAGCAGTAGTTTGGGCATTTCCTCAGAAAGGCGATAACTGTCTTTACAGTGGAGGTGTGTGACTTTCCTCTTTGCAGCCAACTGGCAGGCCAAGGTGCAGGGGAGGGGGGGGCTCAAGCTAAAAAAAAAAGCTCAGATAATCGACTTTGTTCAGGGAAAGATGGAGTTCTGAGCCCCATTTGTGCCGTCTTCGTTTAACTTTATACAATGTGGCTAACAGTAAATTTCGAAAAACTATTTGGATACTCTTATAGATGTCTTGGCCCATAATATCTTGTTTATCCAAGCCACCACTGGAATCTTATTTGGCACACAAAAATTCAGTCTGGGAAGTGTCTATATTGTATGCAAATTGGGACTATCTTTGTCTGCAGGTAATAACACAGAGGTAGAGAGTGGTGTGAATAGTTTTCATTTTTAATCAATCATTGAAACTAGTAGTGATTACAGCCATTTGTTTGGTATTAGGAAATAAGATAGAATTTTAGTAAAGCACACCTTAGCCACAGTGTGGCTTTGGAGAATTATTGTCTGGATAACATACAGTGTGAAGCACTCACAGAACTTAACCTGTATCTAGAAAACAGTATGGTGTTAGCCTGCTGACAAGAACAGTGTGTTCTTTTCAGGTTTTCTCTCCTTCCTCACCTTTAAACAAAGGGGTCAAAAACATGGCCACACATGTGGTTTTTGTTCTGTCAGACAGCCTTAGGAGGCTATGAATGTGACTTCTATCATGGTGTTCTCTTATTGTTCATTATTCAATTCCTTTAGGAGGTGATTTTCTCTCCTTTCTGAGAAAGAAGAAGGAGGAAATAAAAGTCAAACAGTTAGTGAAGTTTTCCTTAGATGCTGCTGCTGGAATGTTGTATCTCGAGAGTAAAAACTGTATACACAGGTAAGGAGAACACTTTCTCATATATTTTTCATGTTTATTAATAAGTTGCTAGGAAATGATGCATTTGCTCCCATATTACAGCAAATTTCTTCCATAATATGTATATTTTCTTTTTATATTTGGCTGGTTGATTTTACAGTTCACAGAAACACTTATTTGAAGAAAACATTGAGTTAGACAATAGTTTCAAAGTTTCACATGCTGATTCTAAGTGTAAATTGTGGTTTTTGTTGCTTATAGCTGACGGAGTTTTTTGGTGCTTTTTTTTACTAATAAATTTAAATCAGGTTAAGATATGATGCAGAATTCATGTCACACCTAGATATGGCTAGGTGTATGTAAGAAAATGAAGCAGAGAATGGGCACATTGTGTTCTGCTTCATAATACTGAGGAAGCTTCACTACCAGATTGTTGCAGATTTTATTCAAACTAGTTTCATTATTAAGTACGTTTTTTTCTCCCTGATGTGTCTTATTTTGTGGTCTGGTTGTGCTGAGGTTGTTGACTTGATATGGTAAGGTTGTCTAATGTGCAATTATAGCAAAACATACTCACCATAGTTACCTTCATCTTTATTGAACATTTATTTGTCCCCAGTGGACACTTTTGACCTGATTTCTTCAAAACATTTGCATGTCATTCAGTCTTACTCTGGTAGATCAAGATTATGATCTATTTTTCTAGTGTGGTTCATAGTATACACACTTTAAAAATATATTTCAGTGGCAATGCTATTTTTCTGGAAATTAAAATAAAACTAAGTCAGGCCTTTGTATGTCCATTTTACTTCTAATGAATATACATTCAATCTCATTACAAGAGTTTTTCTTGAACACCTATGGAATATTTGAGTTTGGACAAGAATTATGTTATCATTAATTTCATTGGTAGGAAACAAGTGTTGCTAAAAGCATGTTAACATAAAGGGTTTTGCTTATCATTAGGAATGTTTTTTGTTTGCTGAGATGCCAAATGTATTATGTACCACACACTCCACTCAATTCTCTACTGTACTTAATCATTTTGTCTCTGTTTTTTTTTGAATGATTAGGCCAACTATATAAATACATACTATTAACCTTATTTTATTAATTGAAGTTTCTGGTGCACTTCATTTAAGGGACCATTGTCTCAGATTCCTGTTGTATAGGGTGATTATCTTCCCCACAGGGGATTTTTCTTTTTAATTAGAATTTTAAAAAATCTAGATTGCTGATGACAGCAATTTATTAAATTTACTAAATTTATCTCTCTATGCCCATCATAGTATCTGCTGTAATGTGTCCCAACTTTACCTTCTACAACTTTTCATGCATTCACAAGTGTTTCAAAGTCAGCCTTTGTTGGACTACAATTCTGGCAGATTATACATAGTACTGTAACATTTGTTGCTGGAGAGGTTTCCCATTGAACATCTTGGACTGTGTCACTGAGAGCATGTTTGATGAATAAGTTTCAGCATCAGTGCCAACATTCAGTGATTGCTTGTGGCTCCCTGTGGTATATGTTGGGAAGAATTCAGATCAGCTACAGAGTTAGTAATTGATTAGTCATGTCTCACAAGCCCTGGTCCCAAATTTATCATCTTTTTCTTTTTGTCATTAATCTTAAATACACATCTAAGTTTTAAATGTTTGATGTGATTTTTTTTCTTACTGGCCACAGTATAGTAATAATTTTTCTATTAGTTCCATTGAATTCTATCTTCTTTCCCTTGTTAGTCATGAAAACTAGATACTTCTTACTATATCTCTAGGCAATGATCTTTTGTTCTTCGGTAAACTTACATAAATGCTCTTTTGGATAAATTCATTTCTGTCTTTTCATTTTAGTGCATGACTGATACATGACATTGTATTGAGAAAAATTATTCTTGCGTTAATTTTTTTTTTTTTGTCGTTAGACTTGAACTCTGGGCTTGGGCACTGTCCCTGCGCTCTTCAGCTCAAGGCGAGCACTCTACCGCTTGAGCCACAGCGCCACTTCCGGTTTTCTAGTGGTTTATTGGAGATGAGTCTCACAGACTTTCCAGCCTGGGCTGGCTTTGAACTCTGATCCTCAGATCTCAGGCTCCTGAGTAGCTAGGATTACAGGCGTGAGCCACTGACACCCAGCTTGTGTTAAATTTTGTATAGCAGCAAAATTTGTGCATATCTCTGAAAACAGTAGTCCCTACAATGGGATTTAACTTACAGTTTTAAAAAAAACATTTAAGACACATTGTCAAAAATATAAAAGTAAAAACACATAGTATTTACTATAGTGAAAAAGGTTTTTTTTCCTCTTTGGAAAAGAGTGAGATATTTAAAAATTGGTTTAAATAATGAAAACACCAAGATAACCTTTTAGTTTTTCTTGTATAGGAGTAGTCAACATACCCTATTTCTAACATTCCAAATATTATTTATTAAAATAATTACATGTGTGTGCTTTATGTCCAACAAATCTGAGGGAAAATTCATAACATGCTTTAAATTTTATATTAACTTTTAAATTTTATCCTGCTCACTGAGTAGAGGTCACTGGAACTTAATGCATTAAGGTATTCCTGATTGTCTCTCCCTAGACATAGCCTTTGAACTTTTGATGGATACATTTTCTTTATTTTTTTTATTACTGTGAGAAATGCAGAGCAATCTTTCATTAAGTAAAAAAAAAGTATGACAACTATAAAGTAGAAAGAAATAATTACATTGTGATGACATGCTTTTAGAAAATGTTCTTATAATTTCCATTTAACTTCCAGAAAAGTTGTGTTGATACTGTTTCTGATGGTAATAATTTCTGTTTCTAACTTGAGAATTTCTGACATCTTGCATTTGTGTTTAATTATAATCAGCTGAATTTTCTTTACAATTATTCTATAGGCCAATGTAATGTTTTCCCACCTGCTAGTATTTTATAAGACTACTGAATGTACACTGAGAAGCTGCAGCATGTGTGCATTCACTTACATTGCTTTCTTACTACATTGTTAGGTATAACTCCACAAAGAATACTAAATTTGATTAGTTTTGAGGTTCAGTGGATTGAGGTTCACATTAAATTAGACTTAAATGATAAGCATTTAAGATTCTATTGGTGATGAGTCTTGTTTTAAGATTAAATTAATTTGGGTTTCTAAAATTTGCTTTTGTACTGCTGTCTTCATTTACTGTTTTGTTGGTATTTTAAAGGGATAAACTGACTGGGGTAAAATGGCTTCCACCTATTATCTCAAATACTTGGGAGATGAAGATCAGGAAGATTGAAGTTCAAGGCTAGCCTCATTAAAAAGTTGGCAAATATCTCATAAATTAAGCTTTACATATTGTCACAAATTGAATCCCAACTTTATGGGAGATGTGGACAGTGGGAAGAAGCTACAAACAAAAATGAGACCCTATCTCAAAAAATAGCTAAAACAAAAGAGCTAGGGATCTGGCTGAAGTGGTAGAGCACCTGCCTAGTAAGCAACACAGTCCCAAGTTCAAACCTCAGTACCATCAGAACAAAAAACATAAGATAATAAAATTAAAGGGAGTACCCACTTTCTGCCATGTTTTTAAAAATAACCTATAGAGAGTATAGGGAACATTTCTTAGTTTTATGCTGTTCTGTGTCACTGTTGATAGCCAAAAAAGTTTTGTCTTAAAGAAGTGCCATATTTTTTATATTATTTTCACTTAATGTTTGATTGTTCTAACTCAGTGATGTTTTTCTTATAGAATAATAAATATATATTTGTCCAATCACATTTTTCAGTGAGTTGTGCATAACCATTGAAAACAATGGTATTTCCAGTATAAGAAATTGAACTTTGCTAATCTGAAAATCTGAAATCCCAAATGCTCCCAAGTCTGAAATTTTTTGAGCAGCAATAAAATACCTCCCACACTACGAAACTGTTTTATGTACAAAATTATTTTTTAAATGTATCTATTGTGTGAATGACTCATAAATGCATTGCACATGGTATCTCCTTGTGTGTATGCAAAATTTCATAATCCCACAAATTCAGAAATTCAAAAACACCTATAGTTCCAAGCATTTCAGATAAGGGATACTCCCTATGTATTGGTCAAACTTGTTTGGGGATGTGGTTCCTCCTTGCAGGTAGCTATAACAAAATATTATTAACAATTATATAAAGAGATAATGTTATGATAATATGTACAAAATCTTAGGGAGTAGTATAAAAAATGTGATCTGAGCTCTGATGGCTCACACCTTAATCCTAATTATTCAGGAGGCTGAGATCTGAGAATCGAGGTTGGAAACCAATACAGGCAGGAAAGTCTTTGAAACAATTACCTCCAATTACTCAGCAGAAACCAGTAACAAAGCTGAGGATCAAGTGGTAGAGCACCAGGTTTGAGCCAAAAGTATGCAGGCCCTTAGTTCAAGTCCCAGTACACACACACACACACACACACACACACACACACACACACACACACGAAGAAAAGCTGTGCAGAGAACACTGCCCAGTTGACTAAGACTTGATTGATTGCTGTGTTGTTGAATGGAAGGAGAATAATCTAGCTGAAGAAAAGTTGAAAGCAAAAATAACAATGAAAACAAAGCTGGCAATGTTGCCTATGAGAAATCACCTAATCAGGGAACTTCAGAGTTTGATATTACCAGGCTGAGAAATCTGAAGGGATATGATTTAAGGAAGTTTTTTCTACCAAAAGCCACATATACCATGTAATTAAGTTAAGATGGGTGAGCATATTTTCAAATTTTAAGAAAGTAGAAACATGGGTTTTAACTGGGTAAGTAGCTTGAACAAAAGTTCACAAAATCCTTCAAATTGTATGATCTCATGAGAATGTATAGTAGGTTTAAAACTAACTTTTTCAATTTCATTGGAAAAACTAATTTAAGAAAGCTTAATCTTAGCCCAGAAAAGAACAATACTACATTTCACGTAAGTGTTCTGGAAGGAAATTGCCTCACCCTGTGATTTCTGATCATGCTTATGCATGCACATTTTTAAGGTAAATGTCAAATGTAG